TTGGTTTTTATTTGCATTTAGTCTGCATTATCACAAATAAAATAAAAATCACAAAGTTGCTATTACCCTTCAACATTTCCCCAATGTATAAATTCTAATTTACATTAAGTTCTTGCAGAAAAGTACACTGCAGTGAATGAAACGTCTTTCTGTAAAAAAGTACTATAATTAATGAAACAGCTGTCAGATCAACACATATATATAAAACTTTACATAGCTAAAAAACTGACCAAGATGCTTTCATACACTTTACTAAAAACAAGTTGCCATTCAGTCAATTTCAACATGGTGACCCCATGTATGTCAGAGCAGAACTATGCTCCACAGGGTTTTCAATGACTGATTTTTTAGAAGCAGATCACCAGGGCTTTCTTCCAAGGCATCTCTGGTAGACTCATCAGTTAGTAGCTGAGCATGTTAACTGTTTACACCACCCAGGGACTCCTTACATACTTTAGGTATGCTTAGAGTAATAGAGAGGCATATGATCAATATGCTTAAAGTAATAGTTATTTGAGAGGAATATAGTCTCTGAACATAAAACAGTAGTTTAAGATTAAATAACTTATAGATTCACTTATCTATTTTGTTATTCACTTACTTATCTAGGAAATGTATGCACCATGAGATAACTGGTGGGAAATACTAGATACATAAAGAATGAAAATTACTGACACTTGGTGTTGTTCTCGAAGGCTTAACACCTTTACCAAAAATCAGTATTTGGAATCTGTCAGTTTTTAAAAAATCTACAGCTTTAACATATTTTCACTCTAGTACAGGAAAGTTTTGAAATAAGTTCCTCTAAGCACTCTAAGAAAACTAGTTTAAAGGGTGGGACCTTAATTTACAAGAATATCAGTCTGAGAATTAACTTTACAGGAAGAAAATGTTTGAGTATCCTTAAAGAAAAAAGTTATTAAATATTTTTGCATTGCACAAACTGAGCATAAGCATAAAAATGACTCAAGAAGAGGAAATTTTAATTAATGGAAAGATAAACCCAACTACAAACTGAAAGCAAATGAACTGATTCACGCACACATACAAACACACACACACACATACTCTGCATGCAGTCATTCGACATTATATGCTGGCTGGCTTTGTATTTCATTTGAGAATAGAATCATAAGTTCTTTATGTATAAGACAACAAAGCTCTCAAGATACTCATGAAAAATTCTATTCAAATTTCACTCTTGAACTAGAAATCAAACTATTAGGTCTAAATAAATCTGATATGTTAAATCAGAAGCCAATTCATGCTATTTTCAATAGGAGGAGCTAAATAAATTACAAGCTCTTCATGCTTTTGTTACTAAATTTCATACATTAAAAATAGGCAATATTCTCCATCCAGAGTACTCTAATGCTACTGTTTTCAACATAGTTCAGAACCTGATCAATCTTTACAAAAAGCCACATGAGGATTTACATTTGCTACTTACTATTTTGCCCAGCGAAATTGTGAGTATTTGCTCAGTTTTTAAATCCAAAGGTTTTGCTCTATAAGGTTTCAGAAAGAAGGAACTTTATTTTCTTTGGTTGTTACTAATTATTTTAGCTTAAGATCATTATTCTAACACTAATATCCTGCTATATTCTCATTTGAGTTGTTCTATTTATCCCAAAGGTAGACTTTATGCATTACCATTACAAAAAAATAACTATTTGCATAATACTTTATGATTTTACATCTATTACAAACACATCACAGGGAGCCTGATGATGTATTCAGCTGCTTGTCATTCACCACTTCAAGACCCTTCAGAATCAAACAAGGGGGAAGGTCACATTTTGCTAACAGCTGAAGTATAGAAAAGAATATAAATAAAAATCTTGAAGTTTTAAAAGTACAAAAGAAAAAAACAAATAAAAAGATGATGATCCTGGAGCATAAATAAAACAGTTTGAATTTGTAGAACTCCATGCCCTATATACAGAGAGCAAGGTATCTGGAGATTTATGCATCTTCTATTGTGATACCCATTTATCTGAAACTATGCTACAAAAATAAAGGAAATCACAATCCTTTTCCGGATTTTATAAATTAGTATTAAGATAATGTTAAAATTTACTGCTCCTATTTACAGAATTCAGCTTGTAGTCTGCATTATCACAAATAAAAATCACAAAGTTGCCATTTTATCCTTGTGAAATAATCTGAGTATCAATTTTCTACTACTCTAGCTTTAGCCTTATAAATACCCATATTAAAACTGTTTAGGAAGGAGATAATAATGATCCAATGTGATTACAAATTATGTTGTTTCATAATTTCTTCTTGGAAAAACAATTACAAGGAAAAACTGTTTAAAGCTTCTATATTTTCCTCCATACCATTACTCCAGATAAAATACTGACTGCTCAGTTATGTCACCTCTAGTCCAAATGCCCATAGCACTTGAAGCTTTTTGTAAACAATATGCCGCTATACTACATATCCCTTGAGTCACCATCTACTTAATTTAACATTTTAAAAAATGTAGTTTCAAAATGCAGTATAAGACTACCATCTCAAACACACACATACACATACACACACACATTCTGGAGTGTTCAGAAAAGGAAGGAGGTGGAGGGCAGAGGAAGAAATGGAGCACGTTGTTGTTTTTCATTCATGCAGTATAGTGATGTCAGTGTCTGCAGCAGCAACCGCGGCGGCAGGAGCCTTGACCTGTGGAGGCTAAAATCCACTGAAGTCAGAACCCTGCAGAATTCAAAAGAAACTGAAGAGATAATGGCTTAAAAAATTAAATCAACTGTTCATACTATGGATTTTAAATGGATACACAACAGAATAGATCAGTTGTACAGTTTTAATTTGGGTTGAGGGGGACAAGATGGGATGGGGAGAAGTAAGATGGGGTAATAATAACCAGGGAACTCGGGGCACAAGAGCCTGCATTCAGAATCACCTCAAGGGAAGAAACTGACAAAACCACCTGGTGTTACAAAGGCAGAAAAACATCTCTAGTAGAGAAAGCCCTTCCATTCCCAACACAAGGTCCCTGATGATACAAATCCATCTGCTGCACAACTAGACTCAGAAAAGTGTTCTCATCATGATTGCATTAAAACTGCATTAAAGTCGGATGTGCCACACTACAACAAAGAGGACAGCTTAAGCCTCATCACAAATTTCATTAAAACTACTTGATGATGGAGCATGTAATTCCTAAGCAATTAAGGCTTTTGAAAGATGAAGAAAAACAAGTTGTACTATAATGTGTTGTAAGATGTTAGTGTTTATCAACAAAAGGGGAGGAGGTACTAGATGGCCATTACTGTTGCAGCAATTGCCAAAAATACTCTTACGCTGCCCACAAAACCCTATGTACAAAATCTGCAATGCTTATTTTAACACTCTTACATTAGTCCCTAAAATAAAACCCTGAAAGTCAATTTATGCACTGTTGAAGCTAAATCACTCAGAAATTTATGTAACTGCTGCCTTCTTTTTGTTTGTTAGCTCTCATAGTAATACAGCTCTAGAAAATGTGCAAGGAAGTTGCATATGGCATTAATCTGTTAGAAAATGGTGGCCTTTTCTATAAAATACAGCCAAAGATGTGTGTTCAGTTGTGGTCATTATTAGGGCGATCACGTTGTTTTCATTCATTCATTCAGGATTTGCTGGAGGATGTCAGTTTCTGCAGCAGCTGGCTTGACCTGGGGGAGGAGTGGGGGAGCAAATTCCTCCTGATGCATACAGATTAAAGGACGTATTTCTTGATGCTCATGTACACATCCCACTGCACTACATCCTACGCCGGTTCACCATCAAATGGTCTGAAAACAAGTGCCTTAGCAACATGCTAATTACAGGTCTGAAATATTAAAACAAAAACATCAAAACTGTAATCTGTCAATCACTTCCTCCAAGTCTAATACCTTCATCAAGAAAACTCTATAAAAAAAAATCCACATACCACATAAAATTGTACAGAGCTCGACAGTGTTTTCGCTTCCAGCCAAAGATTTTTCCACTCAGTATGATCCGCCTCCACAATGCAGCAGCAGAAGCAGGAGCAGCATCTGTAGCTGTAGGCTGGTATCTAATAATATTAACTATTCCAGTCTCCCTTGTGAGCTTTACGTCTCTGTTATGGCTAATCGTCCTTTTCTCCCCCAGGACTCAACTAAATCATTCACTGTGTCCCTAGACATACACCAAACCAAACCAGAAAACATTAAGGGAAGCTCACAGCATCCACCAGCTCACCATTACCTTTGACAACTAACAAAAAAGAAACTTGAGACTATTGAACGGTTCGACTGAACTGTTAAGTGTACTTAAAAGTGGAAAGAAAAAGTGAACATGCTGCCCGAAAGTCTTTAGAAATTTACAATAAAAATCTTAAGTTGGGCATAAACAAGTTTCCAGCGCATTACTGCTCTGATGCATACGACTATACAGAGAAGAGACGGAGACTTAAGGGGGAGGCGGGGGGGGGGGAACGACACTTCAATTGCACACTCGAAACTGTCCCCTGTACACATCCAGCAGATATCATTACATCATACCTAACAACATCATCCCTCCAAAAAAGAAAAGGAAAACATCATCCTAGTAGTTACAGGCACGTTAGGAACTTCGTAGGAAGCACAAAGAGGCTGCAAAGATTACAACCACCACCTTATCGGGTGCTGGAGAGTTTGTGTGCGTGTTTAAGTGTTTCGCCCAGCTCCTTCTTCCCTAGCTAAAAACAGCAAACATGCGAGTGACCTAATCATCTATTAAACTGAAAAACCTTTCGATGCAGACGAATGTTGGGAGATAAAATCTGAGGGGCGGCATGAGGGTCAAATAAAAGTTGCAGTTTTCAGTTCGCTCAGCCAAGCCCCGCTGCGACCGTAGAGGGGGGAGATTCCCAAAGCCACTTTCACACCTTCGATAATGCACTAGCAAAGAGAAGCCCGGAGAGGCTGAAGTTTCCACGGAGGGCACCGTCGGGGAGACGCAGCCCGGGAGAACGGGAGGGTTGGGCTCGCTACCTCTGCACACAGGCGAGCCGGGGCTCCGTCTCTCAGGTGAGCTGCTCCTCCGGCGGTTCTCGGGGGACCGTCTTGGGCGGCCCTTGGCCCGCGGCGTCTGCTCGGCCGGGGCCGCGGCCGGCTGCGGCGTCGGGCTAGGCG